GTGGAACTAAAGAATGGATTTGATCTGAACATTTGACATGGAAATAACCATAGAGTAGCAATGTTGTGTAAAGAGGCAATTGAGTGCAAAATAAGTCATCCATCATAAAACTGCAAAAAGCAATTTTAAACTCTATCCAAGTTGAAAAGAGAAGATTGAGCAACTTCAATCCAAATATGACAGCAGTAAAACATTTTTGGTCTAATTTGAATCTTGTAAAGATACATGACAGAAGGTATCACAACAGAGAGTGTGAGTGAGTGAGTGTGACTGACTGACTCTCACTCAACCATTTTCCCGTGCTTCTTAAACAATTGATTGTCCAGTGTAACCCGGATATAAGAGACCCAGATATAAGAGAAACCCGGATATAGGAGAGATTTTATCTGGTCCCAAATTAGAGCCTGTGTTAATGTATATAAAATGGACCAAACCCGGATATAAGAGAAACCCGGATATAAGAGACTTCTTCTCCGGTCCCGACAACTCTCTTATATCTGGAGTACACTGTACATACAAGTTCTGGAGTGAACTTAAGATCCAATATATTTTCAAAGCAAGGAGCCTCATAACTGGAGAAAAGTCAAGGTTGTTTCTGTAAACAGACATTCTACCATGGAATTACTTGGCAGTAAGTCACTGAGCAAGTTTGCGTCTTGCATTCACATTGACTATGCATCAGTTAGGGTATTCATCCAGAAAATGGTTCAGTTTTTCAGGGATGTTTCAGTGAGTCATACCTAAGATTTTCATACCTGATACTTTAAATTTGGCTAAGAATCCATCAACTGTTATCCTGGTTCTAGAAGGCCTTCAAGCAGAATACCTGAAAATATAGAATGCAGGAAAAATAAGAGAGATAATTAAATGGGAATATGACAGACTGTCTTGAATGTATCCAGCCATTCCCCATATCTGGTGATTTTTTTTTTTTTTTATTTTCTCCAAAATATTACATCCCCCCAGTTCAGTCAGATACTAATAACTAGATTTGACTTCCTACTGCTACTGGTTTTTTCCCAAACTAAAATTACTATTGGAAGGGAGGATATTTCAGACCGTTAATATTAAGGAGAACAAAGTGAGACAGCTGATGGCAATCCCTAAAAAGAATATTGCAGAATGTTTTGAAAAGGGGAAATGATGGATGTTAGGGATAACTGTGAGGTCTCAAGAGAAGTATTTTGAAAGGAGCCATTACCCAGGCAGACAGACAACTTCTTTTATTAATATTAAATGTCTGGATTATTTTTAGACAGGTACTTTATTTTTAAATCTCAGTGTCTGGATTATTTTTGGACAGGTACTTTTTTTTTTTAAATCTCAGTGTTAAAAATATGAATTTTCAACTTTTTTTAAAAACATTAATAACAAACTTGAAATGAAAGCAATCTAAAAATCTGTATATTTTTAAAATGTTATTGTAAGCGTCCTGAAAGCAAGGAAGTAGTTGTCGCAGATTACTTCCACAACACAAAGAAAAATCCCTGTAAACTCGATTCGCCGGTACTGTCTCAAATCACAATGCGTGTAACCAGTCAGAAAAATAACTCACTAACAAACGCCGTGGCCAAAAATGCCCGAATTTTCTGATCTCGAATCGAGAACACCAGCTGGGATAGGGTGTTCCGTAATTTGCATATCAAAATACTTTTGAAAAAGCGACTCCTGCGACGGACTTTTTTTTTCTTTAATTCAATTATTCCATTTTCAGCATATTATGCGGAATACGTGCACTTCTGTTTGGTAAGTAATTTTCTTTTTCGCCACTTTTTCCGTCGTAGAATACACGCGACGCGCTGTCGCTTGGTTTGACGAGGTAAGTCGCTGTTTTCTTCGCTAGTCATTTGTGTGGTAAATTTATTCTTCAGGTTGCTTAAAATAAAAATTTATAAAGGGAGATAACTTAATTTTGGCTTCAAGTTAAGATTCTATTTTGAATTGATAGATTTTAAAGAGGATTTGATTCTTTTCAACAGGTCAGCAAAATTGTATAATTAATTCATATAAATGTTGATCTGCAACAATTTGGGTTGAAAATAGGCTCTCCATATGTAAATATTAATAAAATATTTCATAGTTTTGTCTTAGTTAAACATAAATTCATTTTTCAAGACTTTTGAACCCCTTCTTGTCGTACAGATTCCATTTATAGATCACTTCTCTGTTGACATTATGTAATAGGTTTACCTTCAAGTTAATTTTTCAAGTTGGTAACAAACCAGAAAATATAGCACTTCAATAATGCAAATGTTTTACAAATAGGGGTGAGGTGGGGTGTGATATGCAAGGCATTGCCTCATAAAATTTCAGAAAAACATTTAGATTTGGATTAATGTTTTCATTTTTGTTGTTATTATCACAATGTTTCGGCCATTGTGGCCTCTGGCCCTCTTCAGATGTCTGTTGATTGAGATAACCTTCAGGGAATTTTGAATGGAATCCTTTCTTTATTTAATCTACCGAGGTAGATTGTTTTTGTTCTGCTGTCTCTATGTCTAGGGATATCTCATCTTGTTCTTTTTTTTGAGTACTGCAGAGTTATTGCTTGCTCTATTTCCACTAAGTTTAAGACTATACAATAACAAAACAAAAAACGATGAGGACATTAGTCTGTAAATAATGTAAAAAAATTGTTTCTTGTCACAGAAATTAAAAAAAGTTTATAGTTTTTTAAAATTCACTTGCAAAATTTATGTAAGACAGATTTTTTTTCTTTTTTAGAAACAAAAAATGATAAAAAAACATTCTGGAATATAATAGTTTTGGATTTACACATTATATAATTTATTCTTTTCTTTTACTTTTTCTTTGTGGACGAGTTGAATATTTTTGCAAAGCAAAAATTTTCACCTCAACTTTTCACAGTGTAATGTTTAGGGGCTTGAAACAAGAAATTGGTGAGTGGAGTTCAATTCCTGGTTGATTTCCTTTCATTCACTTTCACATGAATACCCTTAGGAAAGGTATGAATCCATTTTCTCTCTACAGGTTAAAAAATGCTAGTTGTCGTTGGCAATCAAACCGTATATGACACTGGTGGAGCACATAAGGTCTACTCAGCATAAACCATAGATTGGCTCTGTAGGCGTTGAAGAAACAGAAATAGGCCTTAGCAGATGGGCTTACTTAGAAACGAGTAGCCATGTGGAAAATGAAACATCACACTGACTGATTTGTAGTGTGCTTTCAAGTTGATTACTTTCAAATTTTCATATTTTTTTATGGCTTAATTTTACAACTCTAATCAAAGGGAAGCAACTGTTGTCTTATATTTGGTAATCGTAAACATGGAATTATTTTTTAAAGAATTTAAAAAAATTAATCTTTATCATTGGAAGAAATGCTTTAATAAATCGTCAGAATGATTAAGGAATTGTTACATTGTGTTAATTGCAAGCTAAATAAAAACAAAAATAAGATCTCCGCAGATTCAACAAGATCATTTTTTTTTTTTTTTTTTTTACTTCATCACCCAAAACGGTCCTTGGCGTTAGAGCATTACCAAATAACAAAAACCACATCACTATTTTTAACTCTTTCTACAGCAGCAATCAACAACAACAAAAAATAAAATAAATGAGTAGTAATGTAACTCAATGAGAAAATAATGAAGCTGTTAAATTTCCACACTACAAAAAAATAAAAAATAAAATAAAAAATAAATAAAAGGATTGGAAAGAAACTTCCATCAATATTAGAAAGACCAAAGAGTAACAACAGTTAGTGAACTTGAGGAACTTATTTTCCGTAAATAACTGTTTTTAAGAGAATGATTTTATAAATTTCAACTGACATGTAACGCTATCTGTTTGGTCAATGAATAGAATACTGAATGTTTATGGAAACGGTTAGTTTCGCCATTATTACAACATAGCCCAGTTACATTTTGACAGAAAATGACAAATGAACTTTTGAAGTTGAACAGATAATGAATGCTCATTTTTTAACCCCCCTTTTCAATAATTATTTTGGTTTGTGAAAGTAGTGTTTTAAAGAGTTGATGATCACCCCCTTTTGTTTGCTTTTAGTTCCCTAGAGTAATTTCGTGTTCAGATGAATATTGAATTTTAAGAAATTATTCTTTGTAATGTAGGAAGCATAGCTAGTAAACATTCTATGATTATTTTCATGAAAAAAGTGCGGGGAATTCTTTTCAATCGTGCTTCATTTTGAAATTTTCGTCGTTGTAAACTTCTGAAAATAATTTTTTAAACATTTCTCTACACAGTTATTTGAGAGGACTAATAATATATTGTAGTCAAAACTGAAAAGTTTTAAATCGCGAAAAGAAGCTCTTACTTTTATTACGTATCGAGAAAAAAATGTAAAGATTTTTAAAAATTCCTTTTACAAACACATAAAGGTAAGTGTGTTCTTTAAATGAAATTGAAATAGATTGGGCTTCTTTCACTAATTGGATTGGATGTGATGTGAACAAATTCAAACCATATACGTAAAAAAAAATTAAATCTCTTCATTATTACTCAGCTTAATTATTCAGCTTGTAAGAAGTTGTTCTTTAATTAATAATACTGATATATTTTAAATCTCCAATTAAGCACCTTAAAAAAAAAACCCCAAAAAACTCTATTCATAGTAGTACTAAAAATATTCATTCATTCATCACCTTAACGAGTGGGGAGTGAATTTCCGGTAACTCTCCTTCACTGGGAGGTTAAAAAAAACGAGACTAACTAAAAGGTATTTTACTATTGGAAAAAAAAAAAAGAAGATCCTTGTCGATTTAGGTCTTCTACGTCCTCCGCATTCGTCTCCACTTCTGGATTTATTTTCATTCTGACAACAACAAGGAGATACAAGAACTTTCATAGCTAATGAATGTCATTTCAAAAGCTCCCTCCGTCCAGCTCGCAGTTTGTGGCGGTGTCAGGATAGAATTTATCACTAAAAAAGTGCTTCTTTACTTTCAATCCCAATTATAAAATAATTTAAAAAAAATCAAACGACTGTCATAAAAAATGGCTGATAAAATAGATATGTCTCTTGGTAAGTAAAAATAATAATAATAATAATAAAAAAAGAACAGACAAAGAACAACAAAAAAGGTAGTGTGTTAATAATGATTGCGTGTGTGTCTGCCATTCACGTTTTCTTCTCTTCAGTTTGGGTATTATTTTTGGACAGTCTACTTTTGTTACTAGAATTATTTAATTGAGTTCTGTATGTGTTTGTAGTAAATATACATATTTTTTAGATCCTAACAAAAAAAGTAGGTCTGCTACCCAATATGACTTTGCTATAAAACAATATATCCTTTTTTGTGGCCCAAACTTTCCTTATAAAAAAAAAAAAACTTTTTTTTTTTTTAAACTGAGTCACTAGATTTTTTTTTTTTTTTTTTTTTTTTTTTTTCGGGTGGGACTATATTCTTAGCTTGGATATTTTTTTCGCTTCTATTCCCCTTCGTAAAAATGTCTTAAAAGGGCGGAGGAAATTAGCATTTTCAGTTAAACCCAGAAAAAATGATGTGCAATTGCGATACCACATATTCAATTACGATACTACAGTACACTAGTACAGACTGTGTAGAAAAACAATATCAATCATTAATATCGATAGTACATTCAACCCACACCAATTATTTAGCCTACATTCTTTTACACGTTTCAAATCCAAATGTCGCCTCCTATCTACCTTTTTTTTTTCTTAATTTATCTTTATACTTAATTTTCCTGAAACGCGCATATTTTTTATTTTATTTTTCCTTATTAATCAGCTCTTCTTTTCCTCCTTTTGTTTTTACGTTTTAAATCTTAAACTTTTCCTAAAAAGGATCTGTTCTCTTCTCCTTAAATTCCTCTGCAGCAAAATTTGGTTTAAAAATAAACATTTATGATTTGTTCTTTTTTCCCCTACTTTTCAATGTTTTTTGTTTTTAGCCTTAACTTGAATTTTGGTGTTGAAAAAAAATAATATTTCTTGAAGAAAAATTAATTTGTTCATAATTCAATCAATTGTAATCATTTTTTTTTTTTTTTTAATAGGAACTTATTTTTCATCCATAATTTTTAAACTTTAGTTTTTTTTTTTACTGATGTAAATCACGTTTTTAATTTTGAAATTCTATCAGTTACTCAATTATGACTCATTTATCGAACAATTTTACGTTATTTTTAAATTACTGTCGTAAAAGAACATCTTCAACTATAATTCAATCATTATTCATGTTTTAATTTGTTTCTTTCATTTAGAATTAAAACAAATATTGACAATAATTAATAATTTTGAAAGATTTTGATAGTCAAGTTAAAAAGCGAATGTTTTTGTTTGTTTACTTAACCGTTGAACGGTTACATTCTTCAAGACAAAAAAAACCAAATTATTAATTATTTTATAGTGCGCCTATTTTTTTTAATCGTCAGGGTACTTGAGAATAAGGTTTTTTTGGAACTGTGGCAATCATCGAACTTTTTGTTCGAAGTTAAGCAACATTATCTTTGTATTGGTGAAAAAAGAAAAACAAAGCTTTTTGAAGAACCTTCTTGGCAACTATGACCACCCTCTTTGTTTTTTTTTTTGTTAAAAAATTCTTTTGTGGGGACAAGGAACATCTTTAGTCCTTTCTTTACTCAAAAAAATCGTGTAGTTATTCACTTTTTAATTAAGTCAATGTTTTCAGATATCGATTCTATGATTTGATTACTTACCTCAGTTATGTGGCATGCGTGATACACGCGTAGGCGATCATATCTTTCGATATATGACTGACGAGGCAGATTTTTTTCCCGCAATAGGTTGCCATTTCTTTCTGCGGTAGACTAGTTGCCATCCAAGGCTAATAAAACCCGGTCTGTACTGCTATTTACCCATAGCTTGAGGGGGGGGGGAGAGGATTCACGCCCTTCCCAAGGGTATTAGCACCGTAAATGATGAATGTAATGGAGTTACTTACCTACTTTTGTGAAATGTAAGAACTTCTGTGTATAACAAATAAAATAAGATAACAAATAAAAAGTGATAAATTGAAAAAACAAATCAAGTTATGTGTCAGTATGCCATTTTGGAAGACCTTTTTTCTTTTTTTTAATTCCTTCATCATTGGTCATTACAAAGGGATGCTGAAAAGTTCTCTGTCCGACCCACTTCCCAAAATTAGTATTTTGATGACCACACAACAAACATCAGAGTACTGATTTTGGAAAGTAAATTGGATCAAAAACATTTCAGTACCCTTTTCATAGATTGCATTTTATTCAACCCCCCCCCCCCCTTCCCCAAACAAAATATTTCTCGTAATTTGTATTTTGTTTGATGTATCAGAGAAAATTATTTATTATTGCTTTGTGATAATTCACCTGAATTTGAACAGCTGCGTTTATGTTGAGTTTGTTTTCTGTTTGTGCGTGAATGATTTTTAATAAATAGCAATAAAGTTTGGTACTGTTAGAGTGATGAAGGCTAGAGTCTTGAATATCCTTTACTGGGCACATGGTCCTGTCTGGAGGAAGATGATAAATCGCAAACTACAGCTTTGTAAAACTGACTCCCAAGAGGATGCTTCCCCAACCAATACAAACTTAACCTGTTCAAGTCTAGGAACAACTGTTATCTTCCCCATGTATTCCCATAATCTGTGACTTTTACTCTGTTACTCTCTATTTTGAGTGACTCTTAGGTCTTGCACAAGATGGACATCATTAAAAAAAAAAAAAAAAGAAATGACTTGTTGACTACATGGAATTGAGGGACACGCATACAGTACTGATAATTAGTGACAAAGAATAAATTCTAAGAAAACCTAAAAATAACACCTAATAACAATTTAAGACAACATTGCTTATTATCATGCTAGATCTGCTTTCAATAAGTAATTATATTGAAACTAATTACAATTGATGATAAAGATGTAACAGTAGTTCAGTTATGGTGATTTGAATGTTTAATGAGGCCTTGAGGTGTATTGTGTTGAGATTAAATCACTATTTTAGTCAACTATTTTATTCAAGTCATCCTCTATCACCAGGATTGTGTGCCAACACAATGGTAAGATATACATTTTAAGGGTCAGCTGAAAAGATCATAGGCTGATGATGATCCTCTCATGGAATGTGATCAAATGAAGTTTATTTTTCAGCATAGTCCCTCTTATGGTCCACATGATTCTTCCATCAGTGTTGCAGGGCTTGGATCCTGTTGGTAAAGAATATCATCAATAGCAAATATCATCACTGCAATATTGGTTTCCAGCCAAGTGTTTTTTTTTTTTTTTTTGTTTTTTTTCATATTGGGAAACAGATGATAGATGGGATCAAATCAGGTGAATAGGGAGGGGGATCAACCAGTTCAAAGCCACAGCCAATGAAAACAAGGACTTGTGTGCTGAAGTATTTTCCTGATGAAGCAATCCCCTTTCGTCAATTTTCTTGAGGGGTTTGATCTTGATGACCTAAGTAAATTGGTATAGATGATGGTGGGATCTTTTGAAGATAGTCAATAAACACAATGCCTATTGCAGCCAAAAAAACTGAGACCATCACCTTCTCTACAGATTAAACAATCTTGGCTTTCTTTGCAGTAGGTGAGGAGGGGTGTTTTCACTGCATGGAATTTCAATGAGTGACAAGCCCAATGCTCATCCTGGGTTAGGAAATGGTCAAAGAAACTAGCTGTATATGCCTCAATGTCAGATATTTTCCCATGACGTGATCAACTTCATGTGCTTCTTATTAAGTATTAGACAATGTGGCACCCACCAAACAGAAACCTTCATCATGCCAAGTTTATTGTGCAGAATATTCTCAACTCCCTCATTGGATAGGCTAATAGCATTGGTTATTTGATTTATAATCAATCACCTATCATCCATCAGTATGTGGTGAATGCTATCAATGCTGCAGGATGTCCAAATAGTGGGTCATGTTCAAGACTCTCCCTTCCCCTCCTAAATTCAGCTGCCCACTTTTACACTGTTAATAAAGCTGGGGCATCATCACTTTATGTAGCAACCATGTCAGTATGAATGTCCTTGGGGGATAAATCCTTTTTCTGCAGGTATTTGATAATACCACGATGCCAAATTTTGTCCATTTTCAAGAGACGTTACCACTATTTTTGAAATCTTCTTTGAACAATCAGATATCAGTTTACCTGGAAAGAAACAATGCAGTTATTAATAAGAAATTAATGCATACAAGATTTCACAACTCTGGCATCACTCTTTCATAGCCTATGAACTTTTCACTCTTCCTTGTAATTTAATGAAGAAGAAAAAAGTTTCTGAAGACAATTGGATTTAAAAAAATATCCCTGCTGAATAGGAATACTCCATATCATAAAAAGGAATGTGTTGTATCTGGAAGGAATGAATTAACTGTGTTTGGTTTAGTAAATGGAATATTGGTAAAGTTCCAAATTTGATTGTGTCTTATTTTAATTTTCAGATGACATCATTAAACTGAACACATCTAAAAGGGGATCTCGTGGTCGAAGTCAACGTGGTCGAGGTCGTTTTGGCCGTGGAGGCCAATCACGTGGCCGTGGCAACTGGATCTATAAATCTTCACTTACGATGAAGAGGGGCCAAGGAAGAGGTTCAGCCCATTCTCGGGGATCTAGCAGAAATTTCCGATCTCTCAGCAGACGACCAACTTCAGCTTCTAAAGGCATCAGTCCTTTGAACAGGAAAACAAATAATCAGGTTTTAAAAACCTTCCAATGTTGCTTCATCCTTTCCTTTTTGACGAATTGTGCATTTCTTTCACACCCTTAATTAATAAGTATGAACTTTTGATAGATAAATAAGAGTATGTTTGCTGAAGAAGGTAGGTAGATATATCTCTATATATAAACATCAACTGAGAGGAATTATGTCATTATTAGCATAATCATTTTCCTGATCTGGGACAGGAATTAAATCACAAGAAATTTCATTTCATTTTTCCAAATAAGTTTAAATATTTTTATACTGTGGTTGCTGATTGGGATGTTGCAAATGTTGATATAATTATCAATTTTTAAAATGCATTTTATAAGATTTTTTCAAAACCCTTTACTACTGAAATGGTTGGGAGAAAAATGGTCTGGTCTTGAATTTTTTAATGTTTTAATATTTAAGAATATTTCAAAGATTTTGAAGAAAGAAATATCATAGTTCCTTATCTATTAAAGTTCATATTAACTTTAGAAAAATGTTTATTTTTTTTATTTCTGTAATCCTTGAGGATGTGGATTGTTAAAAACATTGTTTATCCAGTGATACAATTACATTATGATAAAAAGGCTGTTTTTATATATATATATATATATATATATATGCTTCTTAAATAAAAATTGTATGAAAAAAAAAATTTAGTTGCCATGCAGGAAATAGAAATGTTTTTAAAAATAAATAAATCACTAAATTTTCAGCTGCTCATGTAATCTTTGTTCAGTGCAAGGAGGAGGGAGAGTATGTAATTGTTTCTCCTAACTTCTTTTTCTATCTTTCTTTTTTTTTTTTTTCTTTCCTTATAGCTGATTGTAACAATTTACCTTAATGTCCTTGTTGGTTTCTGATGTAAAAAAAAAACAAAAAAAAAAAACTTACAATTCAGTATTAAGCTCTGAATTGAAATTTTTTTTTTTTTCACTTTTTTAAAAACAAATTTGTGTTCTTACTTCCCAATTAAATAAAAATATTTTTGTCATCCAATTTATTTATTTATGTATTATATATATATATATATATATATATATATATATATATATATATATATATATATATAATCTGTAGCTGCTTGATCCTGAAATAATTTAGGGTAGAATATGTTTGTGTTGTCAATAATTTTTCATTTGTATGATATCTGATAGCTGCAAACTATATTTATTTAATTACACGTTTTAGTTAAAAGCAGTTGCCATCTTCAAAAACTATCCTGTATTGGCTTTTTTTTTTTTTTTTTTTTAAAAAACTCTTAATGGTTTTTAACATTTTTATTTTCCATTTAGACTTCAGAAAGTAATAGAAATAAATGCCTCCTAAGCAAAAACTTCCAAACATTTTGAAACATTGATCAGTAAATTTACATAGTAGCTGCTTCTCATCTCATATAAACATTTAGCAATTCATCTAAACTTAAATAGAAATAACCAGTGATAAATATTAGAGATGGTAATGGGGGATTTTGTAATTAACTGAATATTCTATTTAAATAAATTCTTTTGCTTTTATGACTATCATTCTCTCTCTCTCTCTCTCTGAAAGCAAAAAACATTTTGCATTGAAAAAAAATAATTTCTGCTAAAAATCTTTAAGGCTGTTACTCTTAAAAATAAAAAAGTAAGACATGGTTTTTTATCCTTAATTTTGTAAAGTCCAAGAGAAGTAAATGAAAACACATCACTTCAGATTTCACTTAGTCAATAATTATAAAAATAAAAAATTTTCTTTGTCTAAAACTTACTGCTAAAGAAAGTTTGTCAATAATGACTAAAATTACTTTTAGGCTAAATTTAGTATGAAGGTGGGTGCTGAAGTAGTTCTTAACCTGACCAAGAAGCCCTGCAAAAAAAAAGGTTTTGTCATTTGGTGAGATTTTAGAAAATGGGTCAAAAACTTTTCAGTACCCCCACATAATAAACAATTTGTAAGTATTTGATACATTTGATCCAATTTTTTTCTTCATAAACAAGAGAATTGTCATATTTTCCAATGCTGATTTTCTTTTTCTTTTCTTTTTTTATTGAAACCAATATTTTATTTTTGTTTGTGAGGTATTTGAAAATTATGACAAATTTACTAGAGTAGATTTTACAAACAATGGAAATATGCAATTAATTACTAGCTGGAATATTGTTGACTTTGCAGGTTTAATATGAAAAGCCTGGAAGCCAATCTAAGTAATTTGGATTTTATGAGTAAACCAGAAGTACAAGACCATGCAAATCAAAACTATGAATCATTGACAAAATCCTGGACCTGTGTGACAAAGAGGAACCAGAAGAATACATTAGAAGGAAGAGCAGAATACAGGGAGACCAACAAGGAAATTAGAGGAAAATGAAAGATGCAAACAAAGATGGAAATTAGAACAAATTGCAGACATCAAAGACAGCCTTTCCAACAATAACACAAGGAAGGCATTTCAATTGGTGAAAGATCTGACCAAGGAAAAGCAAGTTAAAGTGAACACCATCCAGGGCAAGAAGGGAACAACCTGAGAAGAAAAGGAGATCATGGAAAGATGGACAGAATACTGTTCAGAATACTGTATAACCGCTAGAGCAGAGGGACCCAAGCATATTGAATGTTGGAGAATCTTCAAATGAGGACAATTACCCAATAGTGCTCAATTAAATCAAAGCCTCAATACAAGCATTGAAGAGTGGCAAATCAGTAGAAGTTGACAACAGCGGAACTACTGAAACATGGAGGAGAAGCTACAACAGAAATGTTAACCATTATATGCAACAAGATCTGGCAGACAAGAGAGTGGCCAAAACCCTGGACTCAGTCACTAATCATAGTGCTTCCCAAGAAAGGCAATCTCCAACTTTGCCAGAACTATTGTACCATCAGTTTGAAAGTAATACTTGCAATCATCCCAAGCTGAGAGCCTCATCACCAAAGAATAGGCCAGCTTCTGGAAAGGCAGAAGTACAATTGAAGCAAATCTTCAATCTCCATATCCTCTGTGAGAAACACTTCCAATATTAGTGAGAATTCTACCACATCTTCATAAATTTCAAGAAAGTGTTTGACAGAGTTTGTCATGACTTGTGGCCACCATGAAGAGGTTGGGGAGGGAACTGATCTATACCATTCAGCAGCTATACACCAACGTAACCAGCACAGTTTTTGCTTAAGGCATCACTAGGGAATGGTTCCACACTTCTGTAGGGTTTTGGCAAGGCTGCCTCCTCTCTCTGACTCTCTTCAACATCTTCCTAGAAAGGATCATGACCAATGCCCTAGAAGACTGTGTGGGTACAGTCAGCATTGGAGGGAGAACCATCACAAACCTCAAATTTGCTGATGACATAGATGGACTAGCTGGAGAATAGTGAACTGTCAAGCTTGGTCAGCTACCTTGACAGACACTTCATGATGTTTAGGATGAAAATTAGTACCAAAAAACCAAGATCATGACAAATGACTATGATTCCATCAGGGCAGACATCTTGGTCCATGATCAGAAACTTGAGACAGTGCAGCAGTTCAAATACCTCAGGGTGTTCATCAGTGACCAATGATCAAGACTAGAAATCCCTGCAAGAACTGCACAATGACTGCACTCTCTAAGCTGAAGACCATGTGGAGGAGTAATGCCATCTCTGTGAAGTACAAGATCAGGCTTCTGTATGCATGCGAGACATGGATGCTCATGGCTGAATTACAAGGAAAAATACAGGCACTGGAAATGAGATGCAATTGCACCATCCTGAGCATCACATACCTTGACCACATCACCAATGACCAGGTATGCAGTAAAATCCAGAAACACATTGGCCCTCATAAAGAACTGCTCACTACAGTGTAGAAAAGGAAGCTGAGATGGTATGGCCATATAACACAATTGGATGGCCTTACAAAGACAGTTCTTCAAGGAACTGTAGTGGGACATAGAGGAAGATAAGACAGAAGAAAAAGTGGGATGACAATATCGAAGGATGGATGGAGAAACCATTTGCAGAGACCCAGATTCTGGAACATGACTGCGACAGATGGAGGAGACTAGTAGACAGCAGAGCATGTCAGCACCCCAACTCCTCCTTTCAGGGTTAAGGGTGAAAGCCAAGCCACAGAATAAACTATTTTATTTTGAACCCAAGTGTGAAAGAAATTGCCTGACTGTTTGGAAACAGGAGATAATACAGGTTCAGTATCCTTTATCCAAAAACCTTTGAAATCTGAAAGTTTTTTTAGGTGCTGACATGACTTATTGTATGAGAACCAGTGTTTCAATATGATATGGTTATACATAGTCTCGTTTCTGTCAGTTTTCCCTTAAATCCTAATGTATTCGCCAAATATGACCCATCATTCTTCTAGGTTCACAAAACCAAAAAATACATTAATTTCTCATAACAAAAAATTCCTTTATCCAATCTCAGCAGATGTTCTTTTGTCCTACAGACAATAAATACATTTATCCAAAATTCTTGGGGCCAGAAGTGTTTCAGTTTTCCCGATTTTTTTTTTTTTTTTTTTTTTTTTTTTTTTGAATTTGAGAATACAGGCTATTTAATTTGTATATAGGATCTTATAAAATGGAGGCAGCATGGGAATGGAACACAAGCATAAACACAATATCCCTTCACATTTCATAACACAGCTTATGTATACGATGAAGGTAATTTTATATAAATGTCATATACCCTGAAAATAGTTTTATAAATATAATTTAATACATTTTGCATACATAAAGATACAGGTAATAATGCTAGTTAATGTAATGCTTACACGGATTTTTAAGTGGCGAAATTAAGATTTCATGTAAAAATAATGTTTTGTACTTTCTGTATTCGTTTATGTACCATGTCCCTTAAGGACATAGGCGATCATGGCTCTCCACCTCCTCCTGTTCTTTGTAGTTCTCAATAAGTTTTGTCTTTTTGTTATTTCTTCCAGACCCTGTTCTGCCATCCACTTCCTTAAGTATGTTAAATATGTCATGCATTGATTTCCCTTGTACCTCTTCCCCTCTATCCGTTCTGTGAGTGTCAGATTTTCTAAGCCCTCCTTTCTCATTATGTGTCCCAGAAATTTCAGCTGCCTCTTTCTGACATTAAGTATAAGTTTCCTCTTTGCATCTTCTCCAAAACCTCAGCGTTGCTCACATGTTCGGTCCAGGGTGTCCTTAGCATCCTTCTGTAGAACTATACCTCCGTTGCCACAAGTCTCTTCTTCATCTTTGAGAAGATTGTCCAGCATTCGCTGCCATAAATGAGGATAGATATCATATAGCAGTTCAGTACTCTTTTCTTTGTTACCAACACTCCCCTCCCCAATCTTGTAATACTCTAACTAGCTTTTGGAATGCATCTTTGGCCATCCCAATACGTCTTTGGATTTCAGCACTGCACTTTCTATCCTCTGTCAGAACATTTCCCAGATAGTTAAATTTCTGTACCTGCTTGATTTTAGTGTCCCCGAACTGTAAATTGCATTTCGGGCTCATCTTCATGCTGATGACCATGCATTCTGTCTTCTTGTAGTTTATGCTTAGTCCCTTTCCTCTCATTCTCCTTCACTACCTTCTGTAGGAGGTTTTGTAGTTTCCTTTCTGTATATCCTGTCAATACTGTGTCATCTGTGTATCTTATGTTGTTAAGATTGTGGTCACTAGTGGTGAATCCTAGTAGGATTTCTAGTTCTTGCAAAATTGCCTTGCTGTATAGGTTGAATAAGTCTGGTGAGAAGACACATCCTTGCTTTATGCCCCCTTTCTATTTTTGCTGAACTCATTTTTTTATACTTACAAAAAAATATATAAATGCAGGACTTTTTGACTTTACTGAGCATGAAACACCTGGAAAGTAAACCATTCATGGAGGTGTTGCCATGATGATTGCTAACAAAAAACTGGCACTAATGTAGGCTATGCAGCTGGGCTGAGGAACCCCCACCCAGGGCCAATGAGGGTCACTTACAACAGCTATACATCACCTAGGAACCATCCCAGTACTTTCTGAAATTTTCCATCATTGTTAGGATAAGTGGAATCCATGAATGAGTAAATAGTCACAAGGTAGTGTGGTATAGATTTAGTCCGTGCCATATAGACACATTCCATGCCATTGTGGAATTAACACCAGCTGCGTTTTGACAACTGGATTGGGTTTGAATGACACCTGAACCCTACTATTAGCCTGAAATGGTGAATCATCATGTCACATGTCAATGAGAAACATTATGAGCCTAGGTGAGGTCCTGTGACTGTTATGTTAACAGGGTCTTCTGGAGACTTAAAGAACACTGAACTGACTTGAAGGATGTGCATATGGTATCAAATATAGATCTGATTTGAGCCAGTGTTGCTTGTTTATTACTGCAGACAATTCTAGTTAGACCTCTTTGATCATGATCATTTAGGATACTTGTCTGGTGATGCTTTCCAACAGGTGTTCCTGGTACATACATGACATTGTAGATCAAGAGATGTCAAATGTCCCAACATTTTCAGAAATGGAATGGCCCATCTATGTGGTATCCATTATCATCTCCCATTTGAATTATGATATTGTCATGAACAGCCTAACTGGCATTTCACATTGATTTCTCAGATATCAGAGTGCAACTAATATCAGTCTGGACATTTCCATGATGGCACTTCGCATTACTTGATATCTTGTCAGTGTATGTATTTACTGTAGTGAAGTTGGTATCTGGTCTGTGTGATAGCTCCCTCCTCCTCCCCCATTTCATTAAAAAAAAAAAAAAAAAAAATTATTTGCTTGTTGGCAAGTACCCTGTGTAGAACCAATATTAAAAGACGTGTTAGCAAAACAATTTGTTTTCCAAGCTTTCTATTTGGAAATATTTAGAAAGAAGAGTTTGACATATTTCTCTTTTACTATTTATTTAAGCTATTTTTTTTTTTTCTGTTTTTAGAAAACAAACTTTAAGAAAACATTGCCTCAGAAGACAAGAGGGTTAGGACGTGGGATACCTCCCTCCCGCTTCTCTGAGGGGAAGCGTCCATTGCGTGGCAGTCGCGGTGGTCGTGTCCGAGGTGGCAGTGTCAGTTTGCGTGGAAGACGTGGAGGAATTCAACAGAAGCAGAAACAAGCAATCCAGGCTTTACGTAAAGCAAAAACAACTTTGTCAAAGATAAATGCTCAAGTGAGAAGACATAATTTTGTGGCTCTCAAGAGGGGACTTCCGGTGAGTAGTGCAGGCTTTTCTCTGATTCTTTTCATATTGAGAAATGTGCTGGAAACTTAAACACACTGGATATCAATAGTTTTTATTTTCTTGTAACTGTGTTCAAATATAAGCAAATAGTTTCAAAAGCATTTCATCAAATGTTTGCTTTCTCCATAAAGTTGCTTGAATGGTAATCTTATTATCAACACTTCTGTAATATGCAATAGTTTTATTTTTCTTATTTGTGTGTGTGTTTTTTCTACTTATTACCTATTTTTTAGGAATAAATACCACCCGACATATATATATATATATATATATATATATATGTGAAACTTGCAGAAATTAATAAAAAAAATGTATTTATGAACATAAAGAATCTCCTACATGACAAATTATCCAGTGCATTAGTTATAGATAAATAATTTCAACCACAACTTCGGTCTTAGGAATTAAGAGAACATTACTTAGATGAAAAGTTCTTGAAACTGTAATTATTTGTCCTTGCCAAAATGTTAACTTACACCCTGAAATTTTTTCAAATATCTCCTTTCCTATAGAAAATACTCTTAAGTCAACATATATGACCATAAAATTTTTTTTAAATTATAAGAAAACCTTTTTAAATATTTAAAAAAAAAAAAAAAAAATTAATACACTAAAATAAATGAAATTAAAAAAAAATAAAACCTCAACAGCATTTACTCACTTTCATTTATTCACTTTCATTTATTAAGCAATAAATTGTATCCACCATAGTTTACATTTCCTTACACAACTATTAGCTTTAAGGATATTTTAGAGTGTTTTTAAATTTGAAAACATAACTATTTTCTTCTACTTCTGTGTATAAATACAATTTACAAAATAAAATTTTCACATTTATCTTGATAAGATTCTACAGGGGACGAAATGCATTAAAGATAAATTTTCCTTTGTCTCTCCCTCATATAAACTTTGAAACTGTGGAGGCAGTAACTTACCCAAGAAGTTATGGGAATTCCCAAATAATAAAGGAAAGGAGCCTGTGGAGAGCCATGGTCACCTATGTTTACAAGCATTTAGTTTTATCTAACTACTTCTATCTTTGGCTTTGTAATTTCATCCTGCTGGTGAATTCAGTCATCCCTGGTGGATACCCCATCCTCCACATCAGTTAATTGTATTTTTGTGTTAAACTGTAAGCTAATTGTAACTTAAGAAAATATTCATGTATTTTCCTAATATATAAGCAGAGAGTTTCTGATCTTATTGACTGGTGATTATCAACGGTACTTATGTGCTTATACCAAACCTTCTGAAATGCTATATTCAAATCCTTATGAAAAGTTTGGCTTATGGCCATATCATGTTGGAACACTGCTTCTCATGCAATCACTGAAGTTAAGCAATGTTGAGCTTGGTCAGTACCTAGATAGGTGATTGCTTGGGAATATCAGGTGCTGTAAGCTTGGATATGCAGGTGGTGTAATGGATAATGCCCCTGAACTGGAATCGGAGAGCCAAGTTCCAAATCCAGTTGGGTTTGTTATATTCATTTGTGCAAATACTCTTGGGAAAGGCATGAAACCACTTCTTCTTTCCCAGTAGAACTTGTATTAGTCATTATTATCTCCTTAAAGTTCTTACAATCTAAAAAAAACATTTTCTGGCTTTAAATAACATGCAAAAGGTTGATATGCTGTAAAAAACAAATCAATCAATCTTATGAAAAGTTAATCATTATAAATATTTCAACCACAACATAAAAATCAATTTTCAAAAAAGCTAATAATAAACTATTTTGACATAACACCCTTGAGTTGAAGTGTTGGTAATGCAAAAGAACTCAACCCAGCCATTTCATCACACATAATTGTTATCAAAAGGATATTCTGAGATTGAAATTTCTTCTTTGGTAATTGTAAGTTAAATAATACAGCAAAAGAACATTTTTAGTTGATATGGGGAATAATACAAGAAAAAGAATGTTCCATTGTGCCTAACAAGGGCTTAAACTATACAATAATTTGGTTCATTCTGAATATATAAAATGTCTTAATAAAAAAATAAGTGATTCAACTGTAATGGGTATTTACCAGAGTGCTCATGTGACACAAAGTCTAGGTTTAAAATGGGTTTGACAACAATAACACAGAAAAATTGTCCAAGCCCCCTCAGCACTTTCTCTTTTAGGGGACACCTCAGGTGCTAGGGAATAAATCCACATCCCTCCCAAAGGAGAAGTACTGCCTGGTGGGGAAGGTGATTCAACTGAAATGATTTCCTTGTGACATTGTGAAAATCTTGATTTTGTTTTGGCTGTAATTCTTTAAAATTCTAAAAAGCCAATTTTCTGTTTTTTTTTTTTTCTTTTCTTTTCTTTATCTAAAGCAGCAACAGCCATTGCCACAGACTGGTTCACTCCAAAGGAATACCATCAAATCTTCCTGGAGCAATCGCAGCCGAATGCGTGGGCGGGGCAGAAGTTTTCAGAACAGATTCATCTCTTCCAAGTTGAATCGTAATACCAGCAGTAGTCTGTTGTCGTTAAAATCTAATTCCAGTCAGCAGACGGTCAGACAATTTGGCAGCACTACTTCTCTAAATACTCAAGGCAGAGGCAGAAAAAGAGCGTGAGTGTTGGTTTTCTTTTTGAAAAAAATATTTTTATTTTTGTTTCCTAGCAAGATTTTTCACTGTAAATCTTTTTTTGCATAAATAATTTTCTCTTGTCATAAAGTTGCACAATTGATAAATAATTGAAAAAGAATTAAGACATTCTCACCAATCTTTATTAATGATTGTCACAGGGATGATAAAACATTAGTTTGGGATGACTGTTTAGTTTTTTGGTGGGATAATGGTGGGTTGATGCAAAAATTTTAATTAAAATTATATTTATTCTACAAGTAATTTCTTAAAATAAAAAAAAAATTCCTCTCACTAATAGTGGTGTGCTTTTAATAAATGGAGCACATGCATACAAACAAACAAAACTGAAGTGCTTCTTTTTAAACTGTTGAATGAAACCCAAATTAAAAAATGAAGGTAGGACTTGAGTTTACATATTTGCATTATTTACCACTACATATGAAAATCTTAGTATCTAATAGTAAGAAAATTATATTTTTTTTTGTTAATTTTTGTTTAAAAATCTTAAATTAACCATTAACAACATAATTTTTGATAATGTTCACTTGCTATAGAGCCCAATAGCCACTCAAGATAGAGGGTTATTATTGTGTGGAGTAGTATTAGTGTAAGAAAGGTGCAAAGATAACTGGAAAGACAGACAAACTTGATTTGACTTCTCTTGAAGAGGTCAAGATTTAATTAGCATATAAAATGTCTGAGTTCAGGCAGAGACGTTAGGAGTATGGAGTTGAAGTAGACTTTAGAAGGAACCAGAAACCCAATCCTAAACAGATAACAAGGGATGAACCTCTACTCCTGTTCAAAAGACTGTGGAAGAGTGTGAACGAGATGATAGGCAGGCCTATCTACTTCTATTGGGAGAAGAAAATAATAATTGCTAAATAAAATTTCAAATTTCTGCTGAAATGCAAGGGAAAATTAAAAAAAAAAAACAAAAAAAACTTTAGTCATGACACAAGGTAGGTAATGGTAAATTAAATGTTTTTAACAAAATTTAAAAAAAAATTATAATTGTGAATAAATGGAATGCACTGATATTCTTTATATAGAAAATGAATACATAAAGAACAATTCTTGAATTCACTTACAAGTTTCTCTGAACTTGAAAATTAATCAGAACATTTCCATGTAAAATTATTCAGTGATTTTAAAAAAAAAAGTTCTTAAATAAAAATAAAGTTGTGATTTTTATAAAAAGTACTGTAAAATTTAACTAATTAGTTCTTGCATTTATTCATTTTTAAAACTTTAATATTTTAACTTTGTGAATTTTTGTTATGATCTATGCTGTTTGCATTAAAAACAAATAAACAATTAAGCAGTGAATGGATCAAAATAAATATTTATGTCCTGAGCATTTTAATGGGGCTATGTTAATAACAATCATAAAGTTCAATTTTAATTTGGGAACAGACTTAAACTTTTTTTTGGAATTGGAATGATTAAAATTGTTTTTTGGTACAGTTCTTAGGTAATAATGAAAAAAAGTTAATCTGGAGCCAAGGTAAAAATGTTAGCCATAAGTTTTCTTATTATTTGAATATTCTAATAAAATAAAATAAATCCTTTTAAATTTGAAAGACTAAATCATTTAAAAAGGAAACTGTGTTGGTGATCATTTTTTTTTTTTTATTGAATGGTCTCTGTCATGGTTGATAATAGTATTAGCAGTTTGTATTGCAGATAAATTAGTTATGGGAAAATGGTTTTCCCAGTTACTTAATCCATTTTCTTCTCTCTCACACATTGTGTTATACCAGTAATGCAATACATTTTGTCACAATATCTACCAGTTGAAGATAGTGCAAGGAGGAGTTGGTTTATGCGTTTTCCAAAAACTTTCTATTCAAAGGGAATGTAAGAAGCCACAACCAGTTTATGGCTGGTAACTGTTGTGCCACTCTTTATATTTTCATCCTGCATTTTACATAGAACGAAAACAAACTTGGTCCCCTTTTTTTAACTACAGAAAAAGGAAACTTGTATTTCCTTGTATCCATTTTGTTTATTGCTATCAAAGTGGATGTTGCCATATTTATGTAGATGGGCTGCTTGTTTATCTTCCAGGATATTATCAGGTATTTTCTGTTTGGATCTCTGGGATGAGGAGTTTTCTGTACCTTATTTACACTTAGTCTATTGTCCTCAGCTTTGTCATCATTATTACAATATTTCAGCTGTTGTACTCTCTATCCTCCTCCTTCATATGTCTGTCCATCTGTGTAACCTCAAAAGGTTAAAGGTTAGTAAAAGCCCCATTAAAATGCTCAGGACATAAATATTTATTTTGATCCATTTACTGCTTAATTGTTTATTTGTTTTTAATGCAAACAGCATAGATCATAACAAATTCACAAAGTTAAAATATTAAAGTTTTAAAAATGAATAAATGCAAGAACTAATTAGTTAAATTTTACAGTACTTTTTATAAAAATCACAAGGTTATACAGGTTTGCAAACACCTGAAGAAGGCTGAAGTGATAATAGCAACAATGATGTGGACATTAGTCTGACTGTAAATAATGCTTGTCTATATTCCAGGGTATTATTAGCTGTCATACAATGGATAACATTACTAATCACTAGAATTTCAGATATTATTAATAAATAAAGGAATTCTAAGGAGTTATTCCCACTAATCACAATGAGATAGGGTCAAACCTTTTCATAAGATAACTGATAAATTAACCTTTACAACTCTGCATGTTCACACATGTCTGCCAGCAATACTCTTTCTCAATATTCTCCAGGCAGACATGTTCGCTGAGTGACAAAGCTTTGTTCTAAAGGAAAAGTACGTTTCTAAAATAACCTATTATTATGGAAATTATGTCATTAAGCTTGTGATATGAACTGGGAATGACTGGATGTCAGTCATTTTGTTTTAATTGAAATAGTTGTTTTATCAGCAAATTCTAATAAAGTGTTTTACAAATGTTCGTTTTTCAATCACAATGGTGACCCCCAGGCTGAGGTATGGATCTGTTACAATCGATAAAAGAACTCTTTATGGACAGTAAGAGCAACGAAGAAGAATTTCTCAGATTTACCCACACAGATATTGGTGATATGCATGACTGAGACTGAAAGGGATTCCAACCAAGAAGGTAGAATCTTTGAACCATCACAATGATCACTTGTAGCTACCAGAATTTTCTCATACTCCCGGACCTACAAATGTTAATTAAAAAACTAATGAGGTAGACGTTTTTCATCTTTTTTTTTTTTTTTTTTTATCTGATGTAGTTGTTCAATTAATGGTAGTAGAAACTAACTGGTAAGCAAACGATGTGGAAACAAAATTAGGTGATACACAGCAAATCTCAAATTGCAAATCAGAGCTTGGAAAAACGTTTGCTTTGAAAAAATGAAGGCATCTTTAGGCTTGTTTTTGTTGATAGGATTGACAAAGTGACTTTCGTATTTGTCTTACTGGGTAGCAAACCCTTTTTTTATATATGCAAGGCTTTTACAATGGATCCAGGGGATACAACTCCGAAAGTAAGTGTGGAATTGTAAAGGTTAAAGGTTGTAGCATCCATTTTGTTTGTGAGGTTTCTTTCTGTTTAACATCTTAATATTTCAGATAGAATTTTTTAAATATATTTCCTTACAAGCACATAATTATTTCTTTGCTTATTTCAGGTGGCGAGATAATTCAGTTCAAAGAAAATCTCCTAAAATTATGACAATTAGTGTGAGCAATGCTACCAGGTGAGAGAATTTGCAGCAGTGAAAAGGACAACTGTAAATGAGAAATTCTTTCTCTCAAATGAGAAATTCTTTCTCTCTCAATTTCTTTAATAGTTAAGAAAATTCAAATAAAAAAAAAGGAAAAAAAAAAAGAACATTTTTGTGTACTTGAAAACAAGTAACATTTTAGCAGCTTCTGAATTATCCTACTTTTAGATTTAATATTTGAATGAATTATTAGCAAAATGATGAATTGTCAATATACACATTTTTTTTAAAGAGAGTTGTTAAAATAATTAAATTGAATAAATTTGTTTAAAAAATAAAGTTTGTACTGTAAATTGTAATATAAATATTTTCTTTGATTTCAGAATTCAGAATAACAGATCCTCAAATATGAGACCTCATATAGGGGTGAGTAAAGTTCTCTAAAAATGATAAGGAAAAATATATGTAGAGCTTGTTCAGTTTTAAAGAGTGATTCTCAGCTTTTATTAATGAATTTTGCATTGTTGAAAGTATTGAGTTTGTCATAATGTTTGTTCACCTTAAGTAAAAGACAATTATTTTTTTTGTTTAACATGAACTTTATTAAACAAAATATTTTCTATTTTATTTCACTATCTTCTCTGTTTCAGGCAATTTCATAATTCTCTCCTAGAACTATTTGTCTTTCTGAAGAAACAATTGCTGTCATTGATTTTACAGTCTTCAGGGAATTGAAGGGTTTTATTTAAAAAAGAAAGACACGAATTGGTCATATGAAGAGGAATATGGTAAATGAATATCAAAAAAAAAAACAAAAAAGAAATTCTCAGACCAACTTTAAAAATTTTTACTTGGTCACCAAAGAATATTATCCACATTCTGCTAATTAATTCTGGACACTTTTCATTGATTGCTTCTTTTGGTTGGTCTAACTGAGAAGTGAACTTGTTTGTAGCTAGTGTAACCATTATCAGGTTGGAAAAAGAAATCAGCAAGCCAAGTTTGTAATATTCACTTTCACACAAATACCATATCTTCTCCCTCCCAGCTATGAATTAAATAGCAGGGTAAACTGGGCCCTTTAGCCTTGGCTGGAAACCAGTCTATGAAAAGGAAAACTCTGAATTCAAAACTATGTAGCCCTTGTGTGGCACATGCTATAGAGTCAATGAATAGATTATGGAATTCACAATTAATAGCACCATGGGGTTGTAGATTCTATGATTTTGATTGAGGTCAAATAAAGGAAGTTCATTTTACTTACATTTCACATTGTTGTAAAGTATCCAGTTTTCATCACTCATCACAATTTGTTTAAAAATGACCATTTTTGTTGTTTAACTATCAAATCACAGTATCCATTAGCAAGGCCTCTGATCAGGAGGTTTTGAGGAGTATGGAACAACCTCTTAATTGTGTTAAATAATAGTTTCAGACTATTATTTTTTAGTTGCAGTGTATTTTGGCTCAGACTTCTGAGGCTGACCTTTAATGTCAGATGATAGACAAAATAGGGATGTCAATTTTGATTGGCTGAGCCGAGTGTGGGAATGTTAGAGAGATAGAAAGTGATGTCAAAGAATGTAGATGTGTTATTTTTGTGTATGGAAACTGCTCCCAAGTGGGAGTGACAGATCAACACCACTGGCTAGTTAAAAAGGTACACGTTGACGTGTTTATTAAAATAGGTAAGTTTTCAAATTACCTTAGATGAAGTTCTCTTTCATCTCTGGACTGTAAAAACATTTTAACACCTGATCAAGAGAAGAAAGAGAGGAAGATGACTTTATTATGATCACCTCAAGACTGTCAACTAAGAAACCCACAGAATGGGGTGGGGGTGCTATACAACATTTTGCTTTTTTGGTGCAGTAACCAAGACCCTCCCTCGAAGAGAGGGAATATGCAACAATTGCTGCTGTTCCCAGGTCCACCGTGATCCATTGTGGTAGCACCTGTTAGGGTCCCAGCTATGGGCAAATAGTGAACCTCCAAAAACTATGAAAGTATAAAAATACATTTTTAAAGTAAAAATGTCAGCAATACATTTTTATAGTAGAATTATCAACATTACATTTTATCTGTAGTTGAAGCCATAAAACTATGTTCAAATTATTTAGATTTCAGCATTAAATAACCCATTGATGTTGATATGCTGCTAAAAAAAATCAACTAACCAACCAATCAGATCACAGAAATATGAACTGATGGCCTTTTTGGCATATATCAAATTGATTACCATAAGCAAACTGGTGTGAATAATATTTACTGCTTGATTTGGATATTTCAACTATCTTTTGCCTACATGTAACACCGATTATTCTGAAATAATGATTTAATTTGTTATCACTCTCAAATGGTTTTCATGAATGTAGAGCATCTTCATTTGGAAACTTTGTAAAATACTTTCTTCACATGGTCAATACTGTCACACTATAATTTCTCTATAAACTGTATTAATCTCTGCATTTTATTTTTATCCTTTTTTTTTTTTTTTTTTTAAGAACATTTTCATCTTTAATGTTAGAATCAGAAAACAAAAAATGTCAATTTTGGGAAACCTTGTCATAGTACAATTAAAAACTGGTTTTGAATGAAGTTAAAAGTAAATAATTTTAATAGCATTTAACAACAGGACAAACCTTTTGGCAAATGTAATACATTTTAAAAGCATTCAAAAGTCATTCCTAAATTAAATTTTATATTTTAACTGAATGCAAAGTCATTTTAATTTCATAGAAACTTTGCTTTGTGAATGCTGATAAATTATTGATTTTAAATTTACAAATCAGTGTCTGTTAACTTTCTACTCTTTCTAATCGACATTAGTGTAACTTTGGTGAAATGTTCCAGTCTGTCTAAACTTAAAATCGTTTAAAAGTATTGTTTTTCTAGCTTTTTAATAATGTAAACTAGTATTTTTGTTTATTCTATATCAATAGATAAGTTTAATATTTTAAAAGTGAACTTATCCTGTATCTAAACTACATTATTGCATTGTTTTTTACTTAACTGATTAATGATTATAAGATTGTCTAGACCAAATGATTATTTGCTTAAAAAGTGTTATCTTAAGACAATGAATTTTTCAATTTAGTTTTCTCCCTCTTGATAGAATACTCTCTTGATGCTTGTGATATTATTATTGTTGACATAATGTCTATAATAATATCTTAATAGCCATGTTATTGTTTTGACTTCAGGCAAGTCATTTATACCATTCATTTTGGTATAATCTTTGCTTTGCCTGAAAACCTTTTTTTTGTCTTTTTGTTTCTTGTAGACACAAAATATTAACTTCAGTTCAGGAATGTTTGCCCAAGGCTCAGTAAGTAAATTATATTTTGCTAAACCACAAAAATTGTCTGTCATTAGTTCAATGAAACACTGATGAGTAGTTTTCAAATTTAAAAATAAATATTTAAGCAAGTTAAATGTGTTTAATTTCATATTTTTGAATTCTTATTACCCCTAGATCCAAAAATAGATTTAACATGTTTTCTTTTCTTTTTTTTTTTTCTTTTTTTAAATAATAACAATCTAACCAGACATTTGCATTAATTTGTTAATGAGAATCAAGAAACAAAATTAGTATTATTTCATTTAGACTAATGTTTTTCTAGATTTACCTGAAGATATTCTATAAATCTTATCAGATTAGGATGTCTTGTTACTGTGGTTTTGTAAGATCCATAGTTTCAATTCAACCTTGGGCAAGGTACAGCATGATTTAACTTCTGCAATTTGACAGAATGTTAAGAGAAAGAGAAACTTAGTATTAAGGTTGGCTTAAAATACTTGTTTGGGGCTATTTAAGTTTTATCAGAACAGGTTCACCATGAAACCATATTTGGGAATGATGAAAAATTTTCTCATACTTTGTTTATACATAGAACTATTTCTGTCCAGTTTATTATCATTTTGATTTGTTAATGTAAATAATCCCAATTCTCTTGGGATTATTCTATTCTTGAATATTTATTTATGATTAGATTTGATGATTTTGATAGTAAAACAAAAAAGATGGTTGGAGCTAATCTTTTTTTCTTGGCTTTCTTTCAGACTGGAGTTTCCTTAAATGATCGTTTTACATCTTCAGAAGGATCAAGCAGTTCTGTTATTGTTAACAATCGAGAACGTAAAGTGTTTTTTTGATTGTTCCCAGATTACATATTTGAACTGTTTACTGAAATTCCACTTTGGGAAGTGGATTTTTTTAAAAAGTTGAATCTGTCATGTTGCAATTAAAAAACAAAAAGAAAACAAACTGAATTGCATTATTTTCTGGTCTGTGTGTTCAAGCTCAAGTCCATCCTGTCATAAAATTCATCCTCAGCCACAAGAAGTCATCATATCAATGGCTACTCCCTCTGCCAACTGATTTTTCTTCAATTCATTCAACATTCAAAACAAAACCTCCTTCTCAGTCATCTATTTTTTGAATTTATTCAGTTTGGGCCAAATAGCAAATTGTTAACAATAATTTAGGTTACTGGAAATTGTTTCTATAATTTTCATTTTAGTGATGTTTCAGTTTTAATAAAGATAATTGGAGACTGCCAAAATTTTATTTATTATTATATTACAAATTTATTTGAACACCTTTTTTTTCTGTTAAAGATGTGATGCCAGTACTGTAAAAAGTCCTACTTTTATAAATTGGTTCTCAGAGAACCTGGAATAACATGGAAGAAATACACATACCAACTATGTTTTTAGTATAGAATCTTAAATTTAGAACTTACTAATGATCGAGATGTGGGCAGTATTGTTACGCATGTACAATTAACATAAGAGTAAATTTTAATGGTTTTAAAATTGCTTTTATAAGAGACACAATAAGTGAGTGCCAAGAATCTTGAATATTTCCTGTCACATTGAATTGATGTGTTCTCTTCTTTGTTTGTCTCTCTATATAGACATGAGAAATGATTTCTTTTGGTAATGTCATACACGTGTCTCTCCTCACAGGAGCATTACCAAAAGAGAATATTGCATTAATATTTCATAGAAAAGTTTCACAAACTATTTTAAAAGAAATAAATTTTGTTAGTATAATTTTTTGTATGTTTTCTTTTTTTTTAAGTATACAGAGTAGTTGCTTTCTCATTGACTTCATAAAATACAACATATTATGTTAATGTGATATGTAAATATTAGGAAGGAAATTTATACCAGTTAGATCAGCTTTTCTTTCTGTGCTTGTAAATTTTCCCTTAAAGCACCCCTACTTTAAGAATGTTAGATTCCATCAAGTATTTGTGTATTATAAAAATATTTATTATTTTATTTTGAATGAAAACATTTATAATTTTTAATAGCTTTCACTGTGAGTGTTTGTAAGATGTAAAAATAGTATGCAAAACAAAAGTAAAAGTGTTAATAAAGTGGAAATTTTATAAACAATGCCTTTTGCCAAGAGTGTCTACTCTCTTTGGCTTTCTCAGATTAGAATGACACAAAGACAAAACTATATGAGGAAAAATGCATTGGGATATCTGAGGATAAGTGGGGGACCATAATTAAATTAGATTACCTTATCACATCCAATGTCCAGACTCAAGAGTGTGTCTCTCTCTCTCTCTCTCTCTCTCTATATATATATATATATATATATATATATATATATATATATATATACAGAATTAATCACACATAGAATTAATCAGAAGTATCAATGCGATTATTGCCGACATCCGTCACTAGAAAACATAATATATGCATTAAAATCCTGTTCATCCATAGTGCGAGTTTTGATCCTTGAAGAAAAACTTGTCTGTAGTTTTTCAGTTTATTCGATGTTAAAATGCTAGTACTTACGGACGGTCTTCCATCCATCATCAGGCATGTGTTTTTTCATATCGTCTCAAGTTTTGGATTTTATAAGAAAAAAAACACATGCCTGATGATCGTCTTCATCTTCCATCAAACTCAAAATGGGAATTTGAATGCTAGGACTCTTGGACCCACTGTATCCAACTTTGCTATTATTAGTGCTTCCAGTAAGGAATTAAAAAGAAAACAAAATGGATTATTAGGTTAATAATTGTCAGTGCCAAGAAATTTCAGTTGTGATAAATGTATAATCAATATTGTAAATCAAATTTGCTTATTAGAACATTACAATATAAATGTTGAAATGTTTTTCCTTTTCTTTTTTTTTTTTTTAATAATTCCCAGTAGAAGAATGTAATTTTTGTATGATTAGAATAAAAAAAGATCGACCAAATATAAATGACATAATTTTGTCCCTTCATTTTATTTTTAGATTAATCTTTAATATTTCTTTGAAAGGCAAGCATAGCATTCATATTCCTTCAATATGTCAAAATAAAAATCTTGTAATGTGCTATTTTTAATGCACAATGTTAAATAGAATGACTGCTCAGCAATGTATATTTTTGATAAAAAATCATTGAATTTATTTTCAGTTGATTAGGCTCAAGAAAACATGCTCATTTTTTTATTTTTGTGTTTCTTTTAATTTGAAAAGTAGATTAAACCCTAAAAAAAAAGTAATGCTTTGGGTTATTGTTTTGTTTTGCATTTTCATAAGTATTTTGTGATGTGTTGTTGTGAACAGCAATACTTGAAACTAGTTGAAATAAAGCATCTTTGTTTGATATCTACCATGTTGTGAAGAAAAAGAAGGCAGATACAGTTCCTTTCCTGATAAATAAATCTAGATTCTGAAAGGTGTGCATTTCACTTTTATTTTTTTGCCCCATTTTTGTGTGTATTTTGATTATTTACTCCTGGAAAAGTCTTTTTTGTACTAAAGTATATTGTTTTTTTTTTTTTTTAATGTTTTTTTTTTTTTCTCTTTCTTTTTGTAAATAATAAAACTAGCCAACTGCGACTCATCAAATTATTGAAATTGAATCTGTATTTATTTTGATAGAATTTGCATAATAATAAAAGCTTTTTGCCAATATATTTTTCAAGTATTCTGTATCTTGGATAGTAATATTTTCTGACAATTTTTTAGTTCTCATTTCTATATAAAAAAGATCATTTGATGGCTTCGTAAAGCAACTTGGTTGATACAAAGTCATCTCCCTTAAGTTCAACTGTTGCACCTGTCATTTTGTGTAGCATTTTTCTCAGCTTTCTAAAAAATGCTTTGCAACTTTAAGACAATTTGAAAGACAAGAAGAAAAAAAAACTTTATCTGTAATATTTGTCATTAAAGTAAAATTTTGACGGGGGTTAAATGGCTTTGAATTCAGTCAGTTCTGTGCCATGTGTGATGCTTAGGTGATCATGTATCTTTTGATACATGACTGACGAGGCAGCTTTTTTTCCTGCAGTAGATTGCCATTTCTTTTTGCGGTAGACCAGTTGCCATCCAAGGTTATAGAATCCAGTCTGTCCTGCTATTTACCCATAGCTGGGGGGGGGGAAGAAGAGGATTCATACCTTTTCCAAGGGTATTAGCACATAAATGAATAATGGATTTGACTGGAATTTGAACTCAACTCTTCAATTCCTCAATCTGAGCCACTATCAATTACATCACCATGCCTCCCATCTATTATTGAAAAATAATCTTATTTCATTTGATATAATTAGAACATAATATCTCTTAAAAAGGCTTTTGAGAAAATGTTTTATTTTTATTTCACTTTGAATGATTAGAATAAAATTGAAAATAAAAATAATTAAAGAATTAAAGATTGATATTCATCATCATTCCTATAACTGGATGTGGTCGTAGGATCCCGGCAGAGCGCCAGTTCCCTTCAGATATTTGGGTTGAAAGATGAGGTATTCATGCATAGTGTATCTTGGGCAAATGCCTTTCAACTTAAATGTTTGCCTTGGTCATGGACACATAACCACTGATTGCATTGGGGTGGGGGGGGGAACCTCTACCCTAGCCATTGACTTGTCTCATCCTCCACCTAGCAAGGCTGTGAAATCATCATCATCACACTGGATGCATATACAGCTATGGAGTCTAGTCTCTTCCATTGTGCTAGATGACACTTGACCTTTAACAGGTCATGTTTTTAAGCTCGCTGGGAGTCTAGCCACACTCTTCACTGGAAAATCTTGGTGGCAGATACAAGTTTCATTGCCAATGAACTGACCAAATGGCAGATAGTATTGGGTCAGATGGCACCAGGAATACTCAGAGTACAAGCTAATATAAACTGATATTAATAATCTGTTAAGATATTAAAATTTAATAAACAGGATATTAACTTCAACTCCAGAACTAAGTTGAGTGATTTGAGGAAAAGTGATTGATTTCAATCTTGGTTCGGGCCTGTTTATAAAACATGGTTGTTTATCTGTATAAGTCAAAAAATCTTAGGTAATCATGGCGTTTTATTCCATTTTGTTTTTGCCTTTAGAATTATTTTGCATTTAATTCTTGAAAAGCAAACTGAAATTATATTTGTATTGAGTTTATTTTATGAGAAAAAACAAATGTGGATGTAAGTTGTCATTTTATTTTGACAATTGTGAATTTTTTCTAGTAATCATTTGGATATTTGATATTTCAAAACTCCATTTTAGTTTTTATTAGAGTCCATTTATTTTAAAGTTGGGAGAACATTTAGTAATTATATTTTAAAATTGCCTATCGGTACATTTTATACACAAAATCAAAATGTGGGAGTTATCAATATGGGATAATGAACGAAGTATGGTTTATTGCCTTTGAAGCAAGATGTAAACCCACTTCTCTCTGCAATGTTCCATTGTCAAATGTCTTATGACTGCTTTGAAGAGATGTTTAAAGAATTATAGGTCCTGAAAAGTTCTCGGCCAAACCCATATCTCAAAATATGACAAACATTTCAGCACCATCTCTTATAATGTATGAATAAAATTAAGCATAATGTAAAGACATTATTAGTCGTTTATGATAATGTGAATTTCTTTGTGTTTGATGTCTGCGATAGAATGATCTAAGGGAGATAATTGATGTATTTATAACTTTCGCTGTTGATTTTAAATTTTAACCGCGGCAATGGAGAAATATTTTGTTTAGGCAATGTGAAATCGTCAGAAAAGACATTTTAAAATCACTGCAGTATCATAAAATGTTTGCAACAGTTTCCCTTGTACAAAAAAAAAAAAAAAATACTAAACACTAAACAGGCATTTATCGTCTGTTTTTACTCGTGCTTTCATGTTAACTT